CAGCAGCTTGCAGTGACGTTGTTGGTGCTGCTGCCACTCACCACATACTCTTCCTGTAAGACAACTGCTTTCCCTCCTCCACTCCCAGTCAACTACATTCCCAGCTTGGACAAATTGCATTTTACATTAAAGAAAAACAAAGCATCCACAAACAGATCACCTTTCACTCGGAATGCCAGTCCTCCCCAGACGCAGACAGACAGACAGACTGTGACCCTGGCTCTCAATTCCGCTCAGCAAATGCCGCACACACACACAAGGCCGGCCACACCGCCTAGCTAGCTGCTGCTGCTGTACAAATATAGAAAGTGGAACAAGCATTTCAGCAGAAGGGATTCTGCTCGGCTCTCCAGGAGGGAGGAGCAGGGAGCTGAACTGGCCCAAGCGCTTTACCCATACATGGTCTCCGACAGAGCCCGTAGCTAAGACAAGCTCCTCCACACACGCACACTCCCGTTCACATCATGCTGTGTAGGGGAAGAAAAGATTGAAGTGTACAAACTTAAAGGAGTCGTCACTGTTTAGAAATGAGTCCAAGTTCATTTTACTGAAAGTCCACCTCGGCAACACAGAAACTACCAATGCTCTTCTCCACCCAATAGAATTTGGCAGCAACTTGGAAGAGAGACAAAAACCTCCCTTCCAGGGAATCCCCACGTCTACCAGCATTTCAAGAACTACTAAACTGGCCAGGTCTGCCTTGTTGGTTTTGGAAGCACACACACGCGTGGCATTTTTCACCCAAAACCTAACTACAGCAGTCTTTTTGAACCTTTTCTTCCTGTGCTGCTGCCCGTTTCTTCTATTTAGCATATCACATATTTCACACGGAGGTAAGTAACTAAGTTAGAAATTCTAGCAGAAAAGTTTTCTCATCTGAGTAAGTGTAAGCTATAACTTTCAGCTACACTAGGAACGTAGTACCACAGAACCAGAAATGCACTCACACAAACTTCCGTGCAGCCAAAACCCCTGAAGTAAATATGCAATCCCTTCTCCAAAGACCTTACACATGGATCATTCCCACCAGTAAAGCCTAACAGCTCTTTTGACTGTGCAAGGATTCTTCACTGTTCCACTCAGGAATCATGCTAAGCACTCTGCAGTCGTAACACAAAGACAGGCAAGACAATACAAGAAAGAAATGCAATTCTTTGCTTAGTCAAGTTTTCACAAGACTTTTTTTTTTAATTATTATTTAGAAGCTTAAATAGAAAACAGGAATTTGTGGACGGTAAATAAAGAGCAGGTACAGGTGAGGTGGCAGGAAGATTTTAAGACAGTGATCCAGAAGGGAATCTAGCACTATCAATGAGAGAAGAGTTTCCTTCACACTGTTTTACCTACAGGAACCCAGAGATGACATTCAAAACATTTCTGTTCTTGAAAGATCATTACTTTGTTGCTTTCCCACAGGAAGAAGCATTCAAAGCTTTACCTTGTAAAATGTTTGCAGGTATTAGGATGCTTGGTATCCATCCTGCAAATCTCTATAGTAAGTTAAGCATGATGCTATCACTTTTGTACGTAGCCTTGGACAATGCCAGATACTTCCGTTACAGACTTCATAAATAACCATATCCTCTGGTTTGGGAAAACAGGCACAAATCTTCAGTTGGAAAGCCAACTGATTCTGAAGGATCTGTGGATATCACAGATATACATATGCTGCAATCGCTCTTGAACCACGGTTTGAGTAAAAAGTAGCAAAGAATATTTATGGATGCAGTGAAAAACTGAATTCTAAATCAGATGTTTGAAGAATGACGGATTTACTTTGACATGTGTAATGCTGAAATCTAGCAAATAAGAACCACATTATTATTATGAAAAGCATAGTGCAAAACTGCCTGCAGACAGAAGTGAAAGCTACTGCAAAGACCTATTTTCTGAAAATCTTGAATTAATTTCAAGCAAAAACAATATAAGCCATTCTGGAACTTCAGCTGAGTTTTTCCAATAATCAAGAAAGAAATTGGTTCTGAGAGAACACATAGCGTGCAACTGCAGAGAAACATTTCTCTGCAAAGGGAAGCCTGCTATGTACCAGCAGGACACCGTGCCCACTCAGCAACCACTCACCCTCTCATTCACATCCTCACTTAAGACCTCCTCAAGATGTGCTGCTGAAAGGACAAAGAGCCCAAAGTGCCGACTCATTTGCCTACAACATCTAAACCAGCTATTCCAAATTACATTTACAACTAATTATAACCAACATGTGTAATCTAACAGGTAATTCTAAGACCACTTTGTATCATCTAGTCTAAAGATATCACATCAAGTCAATTTGTTAAATTAGTTCTAAGTCTACAGCAGTACAGACTGGCAACCAAAATGCGCAGGTTGCCACTAGCACTCTGCCTCTAGCAGGATAGCCAGTAAAACGGCCAGTGCAAATTAAAAATCAGACCACAACATACTGAGAAGACTGAAGACAGTATGACAACGTGTGCACATGGGACAGAGAAGACAGCTCACGGACCATGATTCTAGTTCTGAGATAAAGCTTTCATAAAGTAAATAAACTCACACAAACTACCTACAAAACAGAAATTCTTTTCTGAGTTTAATGAAGTCTCCTGCTCAGCTTGGGGTCTTCATTACTTGCTCCTCACTGTTGCTGGCTGAATTCAGGGTGAATGGAGACTAACGTTCTTTCTTCTGCAACACATGCAGCTAAAATGGCTGAAAGTTCCATGCTTATCAAGATGCCAGAAAGACTTTCTTTACCTGAGATGACAACCATGCCTCATTACATTGCTGTCATAAACAAACACACCTGCTGTCTATCACAGTTCAGAGCTGTGAGCTATTCAATGCTACAGCAAGTCTTTGCAGATTTATCTGCCCTATGGCTTTAAAGCAGTTTACATTTTCTCCTTTGTCCTCCCCAGATCTCCTGCCCCTAATGTATATTTCAGCTTTACATGCTTGGATCGAGTGTGAACAAGATGATGTTTAAATGACATCCGGGAATTCCTGGAAGTGCAAATGCTGAAATGCTCTTTTTTCACTGTTATGCCCCAAACATAAAGCATCTTGGCAGGACAACCAAGTGGAGACAGAAGAGGTGCTATCTGGCATTTTTCCATGTAACACAGGCAGTCCTGTGTCAAGATGAAGTACATTAAGACTGCTAGATACTACTTCTGCATCTCAAAAAAAAAAGGGCAATAGGATAACAATTCAAGATATTGTGTTGCAAACCCTCAAGAGAAATATCATTAGAGGGCCCACACAACTTTTCTTAATTTACAACTCCCATTCCAATAAACAATTCAGTATTTTATTTTGCTTTGATTTATACTGCTGTGTTTTGTGGTTGTTTTTTTTTTTTTTTCCTCACCAAATAACTGACCAATGGATTAAAATGGCACTTCTCACATAAGGGCAATTACTAAGGCAACAAATATTTGCAAAACTCCTGGGGAATGGTAAACTAGAAGACAAGAAGCAATATTGAAAATGCCTAGATTGTAGTAAAGCATTAAGAAACTCAGGTCAAGTCTGATAAACAAGAATGCTGAACCATATCTGAGAACACTGGACTATTGCAGCTGCTTCAATAGCAAATCTCACATTATCCCTACTTAATGCTTCTGCTGGTACGTAGAGGTGCAGGCAGGTCCTGATGCAGATATATAAATTCTGCCTGTACCCAGAGGTCTCCTCATCAGCAGCGATGCAACAGGACATAAAGCTGCTGGATGTATGCTGCACCCACCTTCCCATTTCCTATAACAAAGTAAAGGTGTAAGGATTTTTAAACATGGGCCACAGCAATGTTATTTCCAGTAAAGCTGCCTCTTATAGACCTGCATACAGATAACTCACATTACAGAGCTCCCAAGAATACAGCCAAGGGGAATGAAGCAGAAAAAAAGTTGATTGTGGACACGTGGTGCCAAGTCACTGCAGTGTTTTAATCTAGCTGATGAGCTATGCTATAAAAAAAAGCAATAAAAAAGACAGCTAAAGGCACTAGGAGGTTATTCAGCAATTATTGTGACTGCTAGTTCAAAGATTTAAGCCTGAAGTAACAGACAAATACAAGCAAAAAACAAAAAATAAAACAAATCAAGATGCTCAGGAAGGCCAAGCTCTCGCAGATCAGAAGCAAAGCATGTTTTAAGGTGAATATCCCCATCAAGTTTTTTCTAGATCAAGTGAGCTCCTGTCGAAACACACCCCAGGAGCACACTGAAGCGGTATGACGGGAGAAAGCTGCAGCGTTTGAAAAATGCACCCACGACTTCTGGCAGAAAGAATGTCCGTGCCTTGAAGGTGAGCACGTCCGAGCCACGACTCCTCGGGAATTCGAAGGAGTAAAGGTTCCATGCTTTATTATAACACAGCCTCCCTACTTCCTCCTCGTAAACAGTCCTATAAAAATCTCACGCTCTTATTAACCTTTATTGCTCCGACACGCGTTTACCATCCAGTTTACGTTCGGCTTCTCCTGCTTTTTATATTTTGCTCCAACGGCGTCCACCACCACTCCCAACGCCTGAGGCTGCACAACTCGCACGGCGATAACCTCCAGCCCCGTACTCACCCCCACCTAACCAGCCTCCCCCCTCACCAGCCCCAGAGCACGAACCCGCTCCCGGCACAGCTCCGGCCCCGCTCGGCAGGGCCCCGCGCCGCCGCCCGGTCGCGCCGCCGCTCTCCCGCCCCCCACCGGCGGCGCCGCCCCGGGCCGCACTCGCAACCGCACTCGCAGCCGCAGCGCCCCCCGCCGCCGCCCCGCGGCCCGAGGCGCTGTCACCGCTCGGATCGCGGCCGACGGCCTCCCCAGGCCCGGAGCGCGGCGAGGCAGCCAGAACCCCGGGGCGCAGCGCGGAAGGAGGCAGCTGGCGGCCCCCGCGGCCCCAATCCTCTGTACGGTGCGGGAAAGCGCGCGGGGGGGAGGGAGGCGCGCCGCGGAGGCCGCCGCCGCGGCCCGGGTGGGCTGGGGACCGAGCGCCCGGGGAGCGGGGCGGGAAGGCGGCCGTTACCTGCGCGAGGCGGGTCGCGCTCTCCGCGGGCTCTGCGCCGCTCCTGCCCGGCCCGGCCCGAGCTCCTCCTGCCGGCCGCCGCCCTCACCTGCCCCCGGAGACCCACCCGCAGCCGCTCGGCTCCCTGCGCCGCCTCGGGCCGGCTTCGCAAGATGGCGGCGCTTCCGGGAGAGACCACGCCGGGCGCGAGGCGGGGGGAAGCTGGAGCCGGCCGCTTCCCTCAGCATTGGGACGGACCTTCCGTGCTCCGCGCAGCCACCGCCGCGCTCCCCCGTGCGCTCCCCGGCGGTGCGCCCAACCACCCGCCCGCCCGGCCGCGATGGGGGTGGCGGCAGCTCTGGGCGCTGGGGCGGCGCGGTTGCTCTTCTACCCGACGCTGCTGTACACGGCGCTGCGGGCGCAGCTGCCCGCCTCCCGCCGGCCCTGGTTCCACCGCATCGACCGCGCCGTGCTGCTGGGAGCGCTGCCGCTGCGGGGCCGCAGCCGTAGGGTAAGAGGGCGCGGCGGGGCGGGCCGGAGGAGCCCGGCGGCGCCTGACGGTGGCTGTGCCCGCAGCTGGTGGCCGAGGAGAACGTGCGCGCTGTCCTCACCCTGAACGAGGAGTACGAGACCCGCTTCCTCTGCTGCTCCGCGCAGGTGGGCTCCGCTCGGCCTCGTGGCCGACCGGGGAGCGGGAGGTGGGAGCGGGACGGCGGGCTGGGCGACCCCTCGCCTCTCCGCTCTCCGCCTCGCCGCGCTCACGGCACCGCCGCGTCTCCCTGTCGGTGTCTTGGTAGGCTCCGGGTGTTCTTCCTCGAGGGCACGAACCGGAGTTCGAGCGTGTGAACGTGCCGCTTGTTTCAGGAGTGGGAGGCGCTGGGAGTAGAGCAGCTGCGCCTCGGCACCGTGGATCTCACTGGAGTCCCCACGTTGGAAAACCTGCACAAGGGCGTCGAGTTCATCCTGAAGCACCGCGAGCGCGGTAACAGCGTCTACGTGCACTGCAAGGCGGGGCGCTCCCGCAGCGCCACCGTGGTAGCGGCCTATTTGATCCGAGTAAGGAGAGCTCTCTGCTGAACGGGTTTGTTTTCATAGACTGTGTGCAAGCACAGCCGACCGCTGCTACCCGCGTTTGCTCGAGAAACACCTGAGCAAGCGCTGCTGCATTCGTATTCCATGATTTTAGAGTTTGGAATAGACACTCATTTCAAAAGAGGTAAATAGTGAAGCCCCAAACTCACGCTATTGTCTGCTTTGTAGAACCTGGCAAATGTAGGGTAAACGAACAATCAGCTTAGATTTGCTGAACAGCAGTCAAAGCTTTCTTTGATGATCTCATTTATCTTTGTATCCCTCACTTGCCTGTACTTATGGCACAAATTATTAACGCTGACAAAGATGGCCTGATTTTACTGGAAAGAGAAACTGCTGTTGTGCCAGAGCTCTGAAATGTGTTATATGATGCTGTCTGTAGTGGCTCTGGCAAAGCAGTCATACTTCAAGAAGCTCTTTGGACCACTGAGCCATTAATATACCAAGTTCTGAGCAGGTTTTGAGAGATTCTGAGATTCTTAATTGATTCTAGGTTCACTGAGCAGATAATCGTCTGTTTCTGTTGCTCAGACCTTTTCCTTGGCTGTCTGAAATGGCGAGCCTTTCTACGCTTCTTGGTAAATACAACTCAGGATCAAGGGAAATAGCGCTAGCTTTCTCAGTTCTCTGCAGAGCTAAGTGGGTTGGCACTGAAAACAAAATCCTACATATGGATCCTACTGATGGTGCTGCTGAACACTCCTTGGAAAATCTTTCCATAGTGATGCACTAACTCCTTAAGTACCAGGGTAATAGTAATGTTTTAATAAAACACTACCCTTTCTGTCTGGTGGGACTGGGACATGAAACTATTCACAACACGTAGGAATTCTGAGTGAGATAGTCCCAGGCAGCACCATCCATCCCTCCTTGACTGAGGAACTCATATCATGAAACTGCAGTGAGATTCAGGCCCTTCTGAGGAAGTTTCAAGTAAATAGAAGAGATAAAGATGCCAGTTCTTTAACAGTGCTAACATTGCCTGTAACATCCAAAGGGGGCTCCCTTAACTGGTGAAAGGATGGAATGGATTTTCACTTCCAGGGTTTCTGCCTTTTCAGCTGCATCACTGGAGCCCTCAGGAAGCAATAGAGGCTATTGCCGAGATCCGTCCCCACATCCTTATTCGGCGTAAACAAGTCCAGGTCCTGGAGAGTTTTCACAAGGATGTTACTGCTGGGACAACTGCAGAGTGTCAGTGAGAACTACCAAAATCTCAGACTCAGCTCTTTTAAGTATTGTACTTCTTGACCTCAATAAAGAAATTTTTATATAAATTATGGTAAAAGAGAGTTTGGGCTGTTTCATTATAACTTTTTCTCCATATGGCCACTTTTTTTTTTTTTGAGTGTTACCATTCTCACCCGCACATGAATGTTGGGCTGAACCGCAATCCATGGAAGTCTTTGTAATATCTGCAGCCAATAAAAGAAAACTTTGTCTCAGCAGAGACTTTATTCAGATTCTTACCCAAGGGATTACAGTGCCAACAGAGAGGGGTAGGAGGAAGTGGTCTTAATTCCATCTTTTACCAATAGTATGTTATGGTTACAGGTGGGGATTTCCTGTACAGTAAAGGAAGCCAATGCTCGTAAGAAAAATCTCCTTCTTTATGCTTGGTGATGACACAGCAATAAGCAAACTCCCAGATTGTTACCACTCCTCTAGGAGAAGTGCTGAATAACGCAACCTACTTGGGGTCAGCTCTGGAATCTGTCTGCTGTAAATATTTCTCCCAGCCTCTCCAGCAGTAGCAACACAGGAACGTTTAAGTGGGGACATCCCTGGAGTACAGACAGCGCAAATCTAACTCTGTGACTGACAATGGCAGTAACACGTAGTCTCCCAGGCAGTTAAAACTTACCGTCTGTGCCAAGGAGGTTGTCCTCCATATGCTATAGGATTTGTGGACGGGTTCCAAGCTAAAAGAGCCACTTGCTGTGGTTTGGGCCTCAAACACAAGCAGCTTATCATCAAGGGGATCACAGTAATAGCATTTAGTCCATCTGAAATCTAAGATGCATCAGTTCAGCTTTAATAGTGCTATCTAAAAGACCAGGCCTGTACTTCCTCTGTGCAGATGGGCTCTTTACTGGATGTTGTGAGCTTGTAGTAATTGGGACTGGTGCTGAGGGTGGTGGGTACCTCTGAGCTGCGCAGCAGAACACCATCACTGCCTGTCCTATTACTGGGGCTGTTCTTCCCCATTAGGCCAGGACAAACTGCAGGTTAGTGAGCAGCACTTTGATGCCACTTGTGACTGTTACAACAGAGGTGGCTGGGTTAAGTTTAAAAGTATTTGCATCGCCCTTTTTATAGCGGTCTCGAAAAACGTAGATGCTGCCATTGCAGCTGGCAATCTTCCAGAGGGATGGTACTGAGCTCCAGGCATCTGGCAAGCACAGCCGGGTGAAGCTATCCAGTAAGGGATTATAGCAAAGCAGCGAATCCCCCTCAGCTACGATGAACACCACATCCTTGTGTACAGCAGCATGCATGCGCCCTGCAAAAGGCAGTACGTATGGCTTCACGTGGCATTTCTCTGTGTTGGTATCGTAGCACTGAATAAGCCGAGACGGCTTGGTGAAGAAGTCCAAATCATTTTCCTCCCCGCCCAGCAGGTAAATGACACCATTAAGATTTACACCTGCAGCCCCAGAGACAGCCACTTCCAACTGGCTGGTCTCTGTCCAGACATTGTCTCGTACTCTGTAATATATGACAGCATTAGAGAGAGTGTCTTGCAGAGTTTTGCCCCCCAGGGAGTATATTGCATCCTTGCTTGGCACGGAGACAAGAGTGTGCTGGAGCCGGTCACGGGGCAGAGGGGCACACCATTCCCAGTCTATAGTTGCATTGTTGCATTTCCACATGCGGCGTGGAATGGAGCCACCAACAACGTATAGGTCACTGCCATGCTTGCAGGCTGCTGTGATCTGGTGACACAAGCTGTTCTGGCCACTCACACTGATGGAGTCATCATCAGCACAATGCAGAGAGACAGCGAGTGAATGTGTTCGCGATGACTCCTTTCCAATCAGGTAGATGTGAACATTTTCTCCAATCACCTAAGAAATGAGGAATTTGTCAGTCTTAGTAGAACTAGGCCTGTTTACACGAACATCAGTGATGCCTGAGACTGATTTTTATCAGCATTTCGGAACCCATCTACGAGCCTGAGGCATGCACTCTGCTTGCCAAGCCATGCTACCCTCAAGCATGCACACATATCTGACACAGTAAAGTTATCAACAGACTTCACTGGAATCTTTGTGGCTGCAGTCGAGTGAAGGGATGGTGCCATTGCTGATGGAGTAACTATTACAAAGAGAATGCCAAACTAAAATTTCTCAATGGTCTTTCAAACAACTGAGCATCTGCTGAAGGGAGTTACTTGTGGCAATGCTCTAACCACCAGTGAAAGCTCCCTCAGGTTAAAATTAAAAATAAAAAAGCAGTCAGTGGGGCTGCTAGTTATAACAATGAAAGTATTCCTTATGCAAACACAATCAATTTCAATGGCATTTGTGTTGTAACTTTCAATCGCACCTGTGGGCAGAATATACCCTGCCTTGAGAAGTGCAGAATTACTAAACAGCCTAGAAAAAAAGGTCTTTTTATACCTTCAGACTTGACCGCAGAGTCTCTGAAAAGCCTGCACGCTCCTCCTTGTTGAAGTTGATCCAGGTTTCTATGGCAGCTGTTGGATTCTGAGAACATGGAACACCATCTGTGGTTTGGGGACAGAAAGAAATTTATGGTATCTAGACATAGGTACCAAAGAACATCTTTTCCTGCAACTCCTTCACCCCCTCCCACAACAAGCCTTAACTTCTAGAGAAAGGAAAAGGAAAAAAAAATACAGAGGTTTATACATTTGGGCAGGCATGATCAGTAATGCCAGCCTAGCAACTACAATGAAGTTTCCTTGTTCAAGTAGCAGGAGATAGAGCTGGCAAATCTAAAGCATTTTACATAGATTTGGACAAGAACTTACGTCTAAGAGAAAGAGAGCAGGGAAGAGGCTCTATGTTGTTTTGTGACTGTGAAAAGCATTATCTTAATTAAGCATTTAGGCATAAAAATTCTCTTC